CCCCAAAACCCCAAAACCCCAAAACCCCTTGAACTTCATTTTGCGGCTATAAAAAATATAAGATTGCAATTAATATTAAATCAACATTTAAATACTAAATGACAATCTCCACGATAGACCAATATATCATCATCCTTATACATATTTCTAACCTTCGAAAAATCAACAGCATTAAGATCAAGTTTAACACTTTCAAATTCATTAAATAGACTAACAAGATTTTGATTCCTAAGAATCAAGGTGTTATTAGGTTTCAAGTCTTTTACATTTTTACTGAGTTTATCATTTAGTTCATTAAATGATTTTCTATTTTGAAGAATAAGAATGAAATTCAAGGATTTTTCATGAGAAAAGTTTAATTAGGTCATCAGTTGTCTAAGACTAAAACAGTCTTTCTGATCTTAAATTCTAATGTGTGGGACTAAGGTCCCTAATCCTAAGAAGTGAGCTTGCTCATCATTATCAAAATGGTCCTTCATAAAATGAGCATGTGCAAAAGCCTCATAATCATCAGCTGGATAGGCGTATGCAAAGTCTAGATTAGGGAACATCAGTTTAATAGAATGCTTTTTATCACTAGCCAGGTACTTAGAAACAACTTCCTCAGAGTTAGTCAACTTCATGGTCATCTGAGCCTTCATTAGTCCCAGATCCATTCCAAATTTAAATAATTTTTTCTTGTCAATGGGTAAAAAATCTGGAATGTAATTCTTAACTACAGAATTAAAATACTCAGCCTGCTTTTTGTCTAAGTCTAGTTTGCCTGCAATTATTATACTTTTTTCATAATTGATCATAGCCAGGTCTCTTGTTACTTCTCCAATGTATTTTCGCTCTGTATCATATGACTTAAGTAGTTCTCTTTATTGATTGTTATCTAGAATGTTTTTATTCTGGTAAAAGTAGGCAAATTTATGGGCAAGGTTGAAGGAATCTCCTATACCTGTATTCATTCCAAATCCGCCACTAGGTGGGAAAGCATGAGCAGCATCACCTACTAAATACACTCTTGGCAGTTAAGTCTTATCCTTTTCAAGATTGATATATGAGTCTGCTACAACTCCTTCCATTTTCCAAGCATTAATATTTCTCAGATCAATCTTGATGGACTGGATATCAGATCTTGACCTCAACTCATCAGAAAACATTGATTTCCTGATTATTTCAAGGCATTTATACTGATCTTTATAATCATCAATGCTTTCAATAGGCGGAAAGTAAGGGACCTGCAAAACAAATTCTCCCTCGTCAATATCATGACAAACTAAAACAGAGACCAGATCTTAGTTATACAAAAAATAAAGCATGCTAGTTCTATCTTGTTTCTTCATCAACTCCCCTATTTCTTTGGATCTAAAGTGCAAGTTCACAAAGTTCTAAATATCTAGAAATATCAATTAATACGCAAAGATAAAGCTTACTATTTGCACCGAACATCTCGATCCCCAAATTTTATCTAACTTTACTTTTAACTCCATCTGCTCCCACTAGAAAATCACACTCAATATCTACTAACCCTTTTGATTATCTATCTTCGATTTTAATTTTAACACACCCTTCCTAGCCATCCTTGATTATTTGATGGTTCAGGTAGTCATGTTAAAACAATATATCCTACTTTTATTTGTCTAGTAACTCAAGTAAAATAGTGTTCAACTTATTCTAAGAAAAGTGATTTGGATAAGCATAAGTAAACTTTTCCTTAAAGCCTTCTAATACTTTCTTGTAATCGATATCATTTCTTCTTGTGTTTTAGAAATCAAAATGATTGACCCTACCGTAAAGCTTTCCACCTATGACATGGGTTGCATAGTTAAAATTATTCCACTACTATATTTATTCGAGTTTCTTTTCTAATGGTTTCTCTATGCCTAGATCCTTAAGAATTTCACAGGTTCTAAAGCCAATGTAATGTGCCTTAGGATGATCTATTATTAAAGTTAAAATTATGTAGTTTGATACCCTGTACACCCTGGTGCTTGTCAAGAATTATGTTTGGTATTTTGAACTTATTGAGCATAGAGGAAAGTACCATACCAACTGGACCACTACCAACAATGCATACATTAGTCTTGAGGGGTGTTTATCTTAAATTTGATGAAAAGTACCTTCTCATTAATCTTGTTTTACAATTTAATTTGATACTAACTTACGTGCAAATTCAGCCACAAATTATTCTACTGGGGTTTTGGGGTTTTGGGGTTTTGGGGTTTTGGGG